CGTTTCTTCCTGATTTCTTCACCCGTTGGGATCTGATTTGTTCTCTCCCATAGTAGGTTGTTGCTGATAGTGACTATCGATAGGCGTGAAGTTTACTATTTATTTGGCAATTCACAGAGATACACAAATTTTATTGGTTTCACTGCACTTTTTAGTCTAATTTCTTTACATTACCATAGATAACGTGGTTGCAGTCCAGTCTCCAGACTCCACAAAAACCAAGTAAGTCCGTGAAGCAATTACATACAACAAATTACATATAGATTAGCACGTACGTTGATTTCAGATACTTTAATTGTGCAACACCTAATTATGTTTGTGACAAACAAATTGTTTATCTTCACTAACCAGAATTAGTATGCTGTTATGTCCTTTCTCTAAACATTACGTTTGAGATACTTTAGAAAGATATGTGTACGAGAATTTAGGATGACTTCATATTTGTTTTCTGCAGCACATTTCCATTGGTATTTCTTTAGTTATAGAATGATAGGTCACACTGTTTGGTCGTGTTCAACATGTATCATCAAAAGATAAACGACGTATTTCTCCATTAATAACACATAGTCAGAAAAGAGTTGTTATAACAGTCGCAAATCAACAGGTCTGCTGATCCGATTTATCTACAACACTAATAGCACACTTTTACTGTTGGATTTTGTTAACCGACGAACACTTCCCTTCGCAAACAGTGAGATTGTTTATTTGGTCGCCTTGCATTGTTCATCATCTCATCAGTTATTATAGTGGAACATATGTGCATGTCACATTCTTTAATTCTCAGCAATTTCAAATATTGTTGAGAGCATACTGAAAGTTCAAATGAGGGCTGGGATAAGGCAGTTAAAGACAGGTCACTTCATCAATTATTTGGAGTTTTCGATGACTTCTGTGAAAACATAAGTGATTCATGTATCGTAAGAATTCACTGACTGAAGGTAGAGAGGAAGATATGTAGAGCTTGGATTCTTACTATACTGCATACAACTTGAGCATTCAAACGCTGGTGAGAAGGAATTCTATTTCAAACAGTGTCAAGTATGGTACAAATCTATCAGGTATTTATGGCTTTTTAGTAGAATGAAATCATCATTATAGTCATGCAATCCGCGTACAGGTGGTTTAAGCATTTGTACAATGCGGAAGCTACATGTAGAGATTTTGGAATATTCTTCCAAAACATGATTGAATGGAAGATCCTCGGCTGGGCTTCTTTGAGCTTTGAGTTTTGGTATCTCGATATTTACAGGTAGTGCGATAGTTACCGAAGAGAATGAAATTCGCTATTTACCCACAATCATTTCACGGTATATCGATAAGAATTGATAAATTCCAGTTACTTTTGAAACAAAATGAACTGGACTACCGTCGTTTAACTGCATAGTACTGTGAATGAAATGGTTTGGTCACTTAGATTAGATCATTCTGTGATTTCAAATGAGTTGTGGATGTGGTGAAGTAATTGGAACCAAAATTGAGTTCTGCTACTCTGTCATGTGATATCGATCACACACAAAGGCCAAATGATACTCGTGTCGATACTGTTAACGTTGAACTGGCAGTGTTATCGAGTGAAATGGAAAAAGTATTTTCGTCGAAAACCTGGTTCCCATCGTTGAAGAATACACTTGAATCGGGTAATGTGAATGTGAATAGCGCGTGGATAATTGGTGAGTGAATCACCAATGCATAACAATTTTCCAGTTGATATCCACACTTGATCAATATGTACGGTGTTCAGTTGAGATAACATAGCTTGCAGTTTTCATCATTAAGTAGTAAATATACTGTACTCCATTTCAGATATCGTTTCAGTGAGTGGTAAGTTCATAATAAATTCTGTAGTTTTGTGTATTGTAAAATCTGTTGAAGTCAGTGATACTGAGGAATATTGAACACAATAATCTGTCAATGTGGTGTAGGAATTTAGGAAGTGAATGATGTGTAATGATTTGTAAATGTGAGTTGTCGAACGATGTGTCAGCCATTGGCCATAGTGAATTTTCAAACGTCTATTTATCATATAGAAAAGCCTTGGAAGGCCACAGTCAAAATGTACAAAATTTAAAGGACATACTAATGAAAGTATAATGGTTCTTCCTTGAGTATGATATAAATTTCTGATGTGTGGAATACAACATGTATATATTTCCTGTCAGGATGTTGATAAACTGTGGTGTTTTCATGAACTAACGATTCCTTTGTATTTGATGACTGTTTTAATTCGAATTCCGAATGCAATAAATTCCTTTGTGTTCATTTAGCACTTCTCGGTTAAATTGCGTTATTTCTGGGATTTATGGAATTCTGTTTCGGTGAAGTTTATATATCCATATTTAAAAACAGTTCATCTTCTTAACAAATTGATCAATGTCCAAACGAGAATTGCAATGTTTTTAGTAGACCGACATCTTTTTCATTTAACTAATAATTAATTTGCATCAATTTTTCATTTCATCTTTCCTGAACGTAATTCATTTGCAGTTCTCACTGATGAATATTGTTTGATCGTTTGTCAAAGTATAGATCATTGTCTTTATATTTCTCTTCTATCATTTAAGTTGTGAATTGCCTCACTCACTGCATAAACGTTATCACCGACTTGAAATATTGTAAAATGGTCATGTGTGAATGATGACATCGCCTGCAATCCTATATCATCACATCCTATTACTGACCATTAGTTCTCTTTATTCCTAACATTCAGCTGGTTAGCGCAAATTACTGTAGTGCCCTGTCGCACTCAACTTGCCATACGTTTTGAATAAATCATTGATTACAAATTACGCCACTGTAAATTCCACAAATATGATTCTCCATCATTGTTTATCTATCCTGCGGTAATGTCACGAATACCATTCAGTATATGTTGGAAATCGCTTTCGAAGTTTAAACGTGAATATTTGTGAAGACGTAGGTGGTCTATTCATCTTGACCAAACTGTCGGTCTTTGTGAATTTGTTGTACAGGACGGAGCATGCAACACTCAGGGCACAACCTATTAGCTTTGGCGTAAAAACGAAATACCCGTTTCAAAGTGTGAATGGTAGCACTAGGTGCTAAGTATCACACAGTTAATGGATGAACTGATCACACAGCAACTACTCACTTTCCGCACAAATTTCAGATCATTTATACATTATAGCTGGTAACAGTTTCTGATAAGATAACTTCAACGTTAGTTTCGCACACCAACCACAAATACCTTATCACAGCTACTAACAAAAGGTGGAATTTCTGATAGAGAACAAAAGTTCATCAAAATCATTACCTGAGCTACATATCTTTTCCACCATCTCAAACGGGGAATGTTCAGATTTGACCTGAGTTCACAAACTGTTAAAATTAAAATAACACTCCATGTCCATAAATTCGTTTTACAATATAAAGGATAAATAACCTGTAGAAGACAATAAACAATAAGATATGTCATCACTTTGCAATTGAATGATAATCATTAATATTATTGAAAGTTTGACTGAACAAACATCCACATTCTACAATCATCACAGATGTCTAACATTAATAATCACTCCACCACTCAAGCTCACGAGTTGAATCGAGCATGTCAACAATTTGATCTAGGTGAGATAACCCAGAACTAGATCAAACTCTCAATTTCTGCCAGCCGATAGCAGTCACAATCTGGTTCTGAAATCCGTACTCATATTTACGCACTCATGGAACAGTGCAAACCCCTAATACTTCACGTTGTGACGGTGGAGTTCCAATTTGTTCTAAATGTAGACCGTGACAAGAAGGTAACTGAAAAGAAAAGTGGTGCACGAACAGTGAATCCATTCGCCCTGAAGGCTGAACATCAACATAATATAGAAGAAGATTCTCGGTTTAGTGGTGGTCGACATAATGGAAAATATGCACATATAAAACTGATAAGTGCAACAAGTGTCCGTGAAGCGATCATATAATAATGACGGGATCGATGTCCAATTTCTCAGTAATCCTTTTGTCATTTCGACCTTGAATTAAGGAATTTCGCAGCCCAATATATACTAATTTCATCTTCAATATTCTCACTGATCACTTTAAATACATGTGGAGTGGTTCTGTCACATATGAGAATGTTTCGTTTATATTACAATTATCACAACGACTTGGCATGGTGCACGGAATCAGGCTAAAATAATACAATGGGTAATGCTCGACGTGCAAAATGTCGTTGCATTTTATTCTTAATGTAAACTGCGAAACCTATGACACTAATTAGCTTGAAATCTTTACTATTTTTAGCGGGAGAGAATTGCATGCTGACACATTGAGAATACGGAGATGCTGATGAATGTTGCACATCCAATTATTTTATGCCGATAAATTGGTACAGAGATCTTCACATTCATTGCCATTAACTGTACCACGGAAATAGAAACGCATAATGATTAAGAAGTTTACTTGCACTATGAATGGACTGAGTGTACATCACGGTGAGCCTGAATGAATTTAATCTTGGAACATTTGTTTTCTTACATCAACATAAATTCATTTGTATGAGACTCTCACGCCATCATACTTTTTCAACGCCTTTGAAGATATTTCAGCCGGAAACTGAATAGGCGCATACGCAAGTTGACAGGGAATGTGTGGTCAGGATGGAGTGAAATTAAACGGTGTGGTAAATGTTTTAATTTCAGGTTCTCAAGTAACACTGGTGTGTGATAATGAAAGGGGTGACCAAAAGATGAAAAATAGTTTGATGAATTTATCAAAGATTGAATGACTATTTGTTTGGACTCTATCTCGTTACACGTGATGGTTACTTTTATTGATTTTTTGAATGATGGTCTCATTCACATTGGTTTTGACCTTGGTATAGTCTAGAAAATGTGGCATCGACCAATCGGATAACTTCTATCCTTACACTTGCCAATCACATACGTTTTAATTGTGACTAGAATGACACGTTATCATTGTATTTAAACAGGAATCAGGACGTTAACTGTGTAATTGATTTCAGAAAACTTGGTGAATTACAGAGAGCAAATATGTTTAGATCACAAGTAGCAGTTGTTTGGTTTCTCTTCTTTTTCCTGGTCTGCAATGCGGGTAAGTTGGAAACTTTCTAAATGTGCGTTTCCATCTTTACTTTCATTCATATGACGATGTACTTGACATAAATAATCACTCAGTAATAATGTCGTTAGTCAGTATACGGTGATGAACCGTTTTAAATATTTTGATTGACCAGGAAGTCGCCCGTCATTAGTGTGCGTTGACGAGCACTCTTCATGTCGTGAAAGATGTTTACACTTATTCGATCTCCACATTGAGCATTGGTTCTCCTACAATCACAATATAATTCACCGTTGAGTATCAATCAGTATGGAATCATACTAAGTTCTGCTTCCTTATGACTAATTTCGAACAGCTCACGGGTAGTATAATAAGTCAAATGCCTTGATAGTCTACAGGCTCCAATAAAGCCTTGCCGAAGTCATTGATTGATAAATAAGAATTCATCGTTCGTGTACTGCAAGCATTTTGAAATTTGCTAACATGACGATATTAGAAAGCAATATTTTCCTGACAAAACTGCATGACATTTACCTGTATCACGTGATACAATGTGACAGCAGCATAAGTTGTAATACTTGCCTGTTTGTAATCCTTATCGAAGAACCATAAAGAAAGTATTCGTTCAACACTGTTCTGACTTACTATCAATATGAACGACTGAAGTTTTCAATAGATCCCCATTGGATGATATAAACAGTGGAAGAATGTCCTGATTGAACGCGTAGTGGAAAACGTGAATTTACTTCATATTTGTCGTCAGTAGAAGTAAAGACAAACTTCAAATCTAAACATTTAGTGAAACTTTGAAGTGAAGCTTTCATACAACCATGATGCTCAAATCCTTAGTTCGAATCATGTGCTGACCCTTGCTAGGCTAACAGTGATGACCAGAGAACACGCAAGAAGTGATTCGTTCTAGTATGGAAACTCAAATTAATGAACGACAACTGTTAAACGACAAATTGTACTCGTGAACAGTTCACCAGACTGTGTCGGCACCTAGTTTTTCAGATCCTGTACCACAGCCAGTCTACACTGTTATCGCTACGTGGTTTTCAGTGTAACGTGAACAATCTATGTGTACTTCTTGCACCGATAACAAAACCATGACGAGTTGACGGATGAACCTCCACATAACGCTGTGAACATATATGAGTGTCATCAGTCTCGTTGTAGATGAAGTTGTCATCAGGAGAAATGAATAAATGGCACTCAATGGAAGCATACTGGACCGCACATCACATGGAGTAGGATTCGGTGTTTCACAGGTTTCACAGGAAAACAGACGAGACTCTGTGAATTTTGATGATCACTTGAACTCCTACTTCAATGTAAAGGAGTTTGAAGTACGGTAGATCAAATGGATCACCGTAGACGTGTTTAGTCGATTGATCAAGCAAATGTCTATTGATGTGAATATGTGTGTGCTTTCAAATGAAAGACGAGAATTAGTGATTCCAATAAATTTCGCTCACGATGTCATACGAAATCAAACAGCTAATATTATTCTGAATGATTCTTGATAAACATGCACCTAGTTCGTTCGGTGGTTAGAGTTCATTGTCAGTAATAGCTAAAATCGTTGTTCATGCTGATAGCCACTCGTCAGCAAAGTCTGTCTGAAATTTTGAAGGAAGTGTTGCATTACAGTGTGTTGGACCTCATGTAAAATAGCTCCACAATCTGTGATATCAACAGTGGGCTATTCTTCGACAGCTGGACTCTTGTCTATAGGCGAATTCCTTGTTGACTGAATACTGTTTAGTGCCTAATCCACTCAATGTTAAATGCCGTTAATACCATTATGTAAACGTGATGCTAGTCACTACTCACTGACCAATCACTTGTTGTGTCTACTCGTCAGTAAACTGATGAAGCGTTTCTCAATTCATGTGAATGTCTCATCTTCATAATTTCCATTGTTTTTTGTTGACGTCACAGGAGATCAAGAAGTGGCAGCTGAGACACTTGAGTTTTCAAGTAAAGGTAAGTTATTTGAACGGTAATATCATTTGATGAACTGCGTTTACATCACGTTTCGTGTCAAATATTAAACGAAAGTCGTTCATTTTTGTGTATATTGAATGAAATATGCAGTACAATTTGGTTAGATGTTCAGACGCGACACATTTTGATAATTAGGAACATTTGAATTATAGTACGAACTAAGAATCCCAGAAATAACGCAATCGGATCAAGTAGTAGTATATAGGCACGAAGGAATGCACTGTATTTCGAATTCGAAACCAAACATTCAACAGTTACAAAGGAATCATTATTTCATTCAAACACCACACACATATTCTTATCTTACATCCGAACTACAGTGAATATCGTCATGCGCTACGGTTTTCATGGTTTCAGTTTGGAAGAAATTGAAGTGACCATCCCAGTTCTATATGGTTTGATTTATTGTTGATTCTTGCTTTAGCTCATTCACTTAGTAACTCCTAATCAGTTATCGTATATTGGATCACTCTGTCTAGACACGTTCGAAATGCTTCATGTACGATTTCCTGCGCAATAGTCGTGCTGCTGTTTTGAATGATTTTCGTGTTTAAATTGTGCCTGCATCTAATATATTTGAATTCCGGTTTGTTTTAGATATCGTTGTAAATATACTATCTGTCCGTGTTAAGGAGTGGGATGAAATAATTGAAAATAATTCATTAGCACAATCCCTAAAGCTTCTGGATAGATATTGTGCAAACGTAAGTCTAGAAGCTCTCACTCGAGTTCTAAAACACGAAGAGACGTGTATGACAACATTATTCGAGTCATTTTACTACATATATATATATATATATATATATATATATATATATATATATACTCATTGATCTAGTGGAGACGCAGCAATGAATGTTAGATGATGTGTTGCAATGGGACGTGTACATTTATGTGAAAATTTGTAAAATACGCAAAAATGAAATTTTGTTGCTAAAGGGTAAATGTTAGATATCACTATGAGTCTGAGTAACCATTTTAATAATAAAGTAAATAGACATAAATTTTCAGATATGAATAATCATGTGAATATCAATAAAATTTACATTTCGAGTTAGAATGATCACTTTCACAAAAACTTCAACGAAATAATCTGACGGATAGTGTTCTCATGTGATTTCTTAAAGGTCGTGGATGTGGTGAAGGAATTGGAACCAAAATTGAGTTCTGCTACTCTGTCATGTGATATCAATCACTCACAAAGGCCAAACGATATCCGTGTAGACAATATTAAGGTTGAACTGGCAGTGTTATCGAGTGAAATGGAAAAAGTATTTTCGTCGAAAACCTGGTTCCCATCGTTGAAGAATACACTTGAATCGGGTAATGTGAATGTGAATAGCGCGTGGATAATTGGTGAGTGAATCACCAATGCATAACAATTTTCCAGTTGATATCCACACTTGATCAATATGTACGGTGTTCAGTTGAGATAACATAGCTTGCAGTTTTCATCATTAAGTAGTAAATATACTGTACTCCATTTCAGATATCGTTTCAGTGAGTGGTAAGTTCATAATAAATTCTGTAGTTTTGTGTATTGTAAAATCTGTTGAAGTCAGTGATACTGAGGAATATTGAACACAATAATCTGTCAATGTGGTGTAGGAATTTAGGAAGTGAATGATGTGTAATGATTTGTAAATGTGAGTTGTCGAATCAGTGAAAGAGTCAGTCAGTTGTCATCAACCGCAAAATAATATTTATTGTGAATTTTAGATACAACAGACGTTGTCCGTGGTAAGTTGTCCTATATATGTGGCTGTTCATTTGAATATGGATTTCCTGTTATTTCTTGTTGGCCTCAATAGAAGTGTGTTTGAATGTGACAAGATGACATGGGTTGATTGCTTTGTTTAGGACTGTTATTTTAACTGAATGATGGGAAGCCGGCGAACGTAATGTAGAAGATGCGATTGTAGTGAAATTATACAATTTATTGAATGTGTCCGGGAATGTTCGACTCCTTAAGGCCGTTTTAATTGATCGCCATAATTTGCTCAGTCACACGCTCCTGACTTTGAGATGCTTGAAAATATTCGACACATAAACACACTCGCATTAAACTCACACAGCGGAACCAAGTGATTGATCGGAAATATCATTCAACTGATATGCTGTGTATCACTCCGCTGCATTTCAGTGATTTTCTCACCATAGACAAGGTCACGTGTTCTTCGGCACGTTGGTTTCGATCTGTTCAGCTCAACAGTGTCCAGATTGCCAATCGTGTTGAGAATTCGATCATTAACTTTGATAACCATTCCTGCACCAGTTTCACGTCCTCGTCACAACGAACGTCACAATAGTTTGACTGAGTATGAGATCATCAGTGAATTTAAATAATGTCTGAACAATCTCACTGTTTTTATCACAGATTCCTCGGTCAACACGAAAATCGATATGTTGTTCAGCTCACAGTACCCACTGAATAGAGTGGTTTGATTAGCAAATCGATTTATGAAATATTTTGTTGAGAGTGAATATTCGTTTTACAAACTATATTTAATGAAATGTGTACATTTTAGATTCCCATCTGTTCACAAAAACCTATCCTAAGGGTGTACTAGCTATTGATAGGTGCCGTGAGGTGAGTTTCTATCTGGTCATGCATTATAAAGTTTTCTTGAATCCATTACGTTTCGTGTCGATCGATCAAGTAGCAGTCGTGTGTTGATTTGAAGAGTTTACAGATTTACGTTGATTGCGTTAGTTTTGATATCTTCGTACCGTTAATCCCACAATTTCAACGAGAAGTCCGTCGATATTCGTTTTGATGACATTTGTTGATGAATATATTAATTTCTTGATATTCTGTAGACCTGAATGTCAACCATCAATGTTATGTGGCTTTCGTATCATTTGTTATCTGCTTTCATCAGAATTTAAATAAAAACAATTTCATAGAATAATGAGATCAAGTTCCCACAGGGTTCTTATGTGACACATACCGATGAGTACACAATACCTAATTGTTTAAAACAGACATTGTTTCAGTAGATTACAGAATAAATATTAATGCCATAAAACACTGTCTCAATATTTTGATTTCAGTTGAAGATCATTATGTCGAATATATATCCTGGATTCGGTGAAACAATGACGAAGTGCTCCTTCGATGTGTTGAGAGAAGTTATAAGCACGACGATGGACTACCCAGAACTTATGAAGAAAGGGTATTGCTGTTCAGAGTATAATATATATAGAAGAATTTACTGGTCTATTTATGAATTACTATATATAAAAGGAAGCGGTGAGTAATTCTGCAAAACAGGTAAAGAATACAAAATTATTATCGAAAAATGTTTAGGGCAAGTGTACGCAAGTGTCGCTGAAAAATGTCGCGACAGATGGAAATAATGCAGACGAGAGCAAACACACAAGCACACACGCACACAAATGCACTCAGGCATTAGTACACAAGAACATAAGGCGACCAGTGAATGAAATTTCAGACATCAGTTCTAGACCATTTCATTACTCTGTCGGTTTATTTTTCGATGCCTTCCTGTCATTTAGATGGAAAAACGACCATACAGAAAGAAATATCTCAACCTGGAACAACAACTGATAAAGAGGAAACGTCTCTCGGTATGTTTGATTGACTGATGTTTTCTCTTTCCCCCTTTGATTTGCAAATTGAGGATCTTGAGACGTCATTTTTTGTTCATGTAGTCAGTGAATGACTTTTCAGTCATCTGTTTTAGGCTTTTTCATTGTTCCATTGAACTTACCCTGTCGGTTTATTTCTCGATGCCTTCCTGTCATTTAGGTGAGAAGTCGACCATACAGAGCGAAGTATCTCAACCTGAGAAAAAGATTGACGAGGAACAAACGTCTCTCGGTATGTTTGCACAATTGATGATTTCTATCTCTCCCTGATTAGTAAATCAACGGTCTTGAGACGTGTCACTTTTGATCTTCATATGCTGGTGATCATTGTCTCCAGCAACGTTTTTCCGCAGCTTTGTTTCACTTTTCTGATTCATTGGCATATGTTTTGTGCTTGTACGTAACACCTGTTTCTTTATGCTCCACTTAATCGTTCTATGATATTTTTTCACATTATATAGTCGTGATCTTAAACCGTTCAATTTCCTGCTCTCACCTACTTAGAGTTTTCAACGAACTCCTGTATTCTGCTTGATCTCTTTTTTATACTTATCTCTTGATTTACAAATGCCTTCACTCTTTACTTGTACGAATTTGGCAATCAGAAATCTCCTTCATTCGTTCGTTCTATAAACTCATGACTTATCTTGTTTGATTTTAAATTTTTTCCTGCTTATTAAAATGTCACTGATTTCCTAACATCTCTGTGCAAACTTTCCATCAATGTTTTTCAACACATTGCGCTGTTCCATGTACCTGTCCTTCGATTCATTCGCTATTTGTTGTCGAGTTTTACGATATCACAAAGTCGGTTTACATCATGGTGTAAATTACGTCTTGTTGAATTTTTTCATCAAAATTATTTTCAAGGTTTGCCGTCAATTATACGAATCTCTGAATTAGAAAACTTGAAACTGAACTATACAGGTAACATTAAAAATTGATCATACTGGAACAACGTCTTTGCATTTTATCACGAATATATTCGAGCACATTTTTCTACTTGCGATTTGTCAGTTGTCTGTATCATGATTAAGATTATGTGGATGTAGTGCACACATATTGCACATATGCAACAACACTAATGTGATCTCAGCGAAACTATCAACAACGGGATTATTCTTCTGAATGATCTCATTTGCACAAATCCGAGGTATTAGCGAACCTGACATTATCTGTCTCCTTATTTCGATTGTATCTCGCTTCGACCTAACTCTTGGTTGTATTTTCGCAGATGAATATTTCGATTGATTGAAAGTCTGTAATGATTTCGATGTGTTTGTTAATTGCTGATTTAGTTAGGTGTCAAGTTACGGAGAGATCCTATGGTGTACGTAGTATCCTTTCTATCAAGGATTTCAATATCTTTCCAGTCAAACGAGTATTCACAAATGTTCTTATGCAATGATCCAAACGAAGATTTATCATAACGTTTTACTGTTAATTGATGTTCATGAGGACAAACATCAAGGAGGCATCAACGTTGTTCTATATTGAGATTTTCGTCATTAGAACGGTCTATTTAGCAAATGACTTTTGGTTGTTTGCTACAGTCGTTTCGTACTGTGGTTTGCCAACGATTGCTAATAGTGTAATTGCTGGCACTTCAACTACATCTGTCAGCTGTCATACGACGCAGTCGTTAATCCTTATTTCTACCGACCTGTTTGCCATGTTATTTGAGTATGCTTACATAAATGCTGAAGTATGTGATGATAATGTTGCTTGTGGAAACAATGGGAAAAGGGTGATCGATCAAATCGACCAGTCAAATCAACTCCTGTAAGCCCCTTCAACGAGATGCAAACCACCTACTCCACCTCCAACTTTCTTTTTCCTAAAGTGATAATTTAATTGTACTGCGTATTTGTTTCAGTAGGAACAGGCAAACATAATGATAGCCGTCTATTTTAACTTTGTTTGAAGTTTATTTATATCAATTTATCACTTCAATTTTTCTAACCACAATTCATTTGCAGTTCTCACTGATGAATATTACTTAATTGTCTTTCAAAATATAGGTCACTGTATCTATGCTTCGTTTCCATCTGGTAAGTTGTGAAATATGTCGCTCAATGCATAAACCTTACTATGGAATTCACATGTTGTACAATGATCACATGGGACTGATGACGTTGCCCGTAATCATTTACCGTCATGTAACATTACTCACCATTACTCCTGATTATTCTTGACTTTCATTTTGTTATGGCAAATTATTGTGGTGCCCTATTGCACCGAAATTGTCTACCTTATAAGTAGATCATTCATTACAACTTATATTACTGTGGATTCCACAAATATGATTCTCGGTGATTGTTTATCTAGATTGCGTAAATGTTAAGGATACCTGTCAGTATCTGTTGAAAATCGCTTTTCAATTTCAAAGTGGATGCAAGTGAATACGTAATGGATATCGTATTCTTCCTTTCCTCCCTTGATACTAGTAGCCTGATCAAACCGTGAGTCTCTGTGAAAGTATTGTGAGTGAGAAAAACAATCGGAACACAGAACACGACCTATTAGATTTGTATGAAACCGGAACGGCATAAACATAGCAAGCAGTAGAAATACCTTATCCATGTGATAATGTCTACATCGTGGAACTAGACCACCAACCACAAATACTTCAGCATAACTTGTAGAAATACAAGAAACCTTCGAATCGGAGTCAGGTTCACTCTCAAGTCGAGGTATACAGACTCTCTTAATTCACAACGATAAGACCATGTGGCGTCGGTTTTCAATATACAGATGGGATAACCTGTTTAGGACGTCAATGAAATAACTTTTCAAACAAAATCTGTTAACAATTTGCAATATTGGTGATTTGCTCTCAATAAACCATCCACTTACTGTTGATATTCTCTGAATCACCAAAAACAGACTGACAGTTTGTTATGCCCTTTTCAAGCTGGTCTCACCAACTCACTTTCACATCAAGTGCTGTCAAATCAAGTCGACAATATTGAGACTGTAGACAAAAGTGCTGTATACAGACGTCTGTTATCAATGTAATTCGAATATGTGACGACCGTTACAGGGTCTAACGCATTTCCATTCCTTAAGGTCACGACTTATATTCATGAAACGCGAATCAATTTGTTGGCTAACGAAATCACGATTTCAACAGCCGATAGACTCATGCAAATATTTATCGGTTGAGGTGGCCTCATCAAACAACAATACGGCAATAGGGAGTATGCATGTCAACAAAATTGTTACGGTTGTAGTTTCATTTCATGATTTTCACTGTTCACTTGATTTACAAATTAACAGATCAGTCAAATGAAGAGTGACAAGTGAGTAGTGAATCGTTGTGTTATAGTTGGATTTTAACAAATATCTGTGTTTTTAAATCTATCAGTAGTTTCAAGTTTCGTTGAAAAGTGATGGTAGATAGACAGTTCATTTAAACATGACCATGTAGCATGGTAGTTACTGTTCATAAAATGCTTTCAATTTCGAGTCACAGACTGTGGTTGTTGGATGAATATGGTTTGATCAAAATGTTTTGTAACCATTTGTGAAAATGTGTTCAATTTGGATGTGATCAACATTCAGTTGTCAACATCAATGTTACCCGTGCAAATCGGTAATTGTTCCAGAATCGCTGTATACATGTGCTCTCAATATGTGCATATTCATTCAGACGATTATAGTGAAGCAGAATATTTGTTTTAGTGTTGCACAAATTGTGATAGGACACAATTGTTGTCCACCGATCAAACACAATTGACAAATTAACGTTGAACTAACCGTCATCTAATCCCTCGACTACAATACTCATTACCATTGATTAAATTTACACCCTCCTTTTTGTTATATCATTACACATTGCAGGCTCGGTTATCAGTCTCATTCAAAAGCATATTACTACCAAGAATCATCAAAGCTTTCATACACTTTTCTTTCAGATGACCCAATCAAATCAAATTAAATAAACACTGTTTTAGTCTGTAGTAAACTTAACAATATTCTTGAATCACATTCTGTAATTTTAACACACAATACATGGAATATGGTAATTAAATTGTTGACTCTTATTATCTACATTACTTTTGAAAAGAAAACGCTGAGTATTTGTTTGCAGTGAATAATATGCATAATCACTATAACATTGTAGCGAGCGTACGTGAGTAGACAAACACGAATTGGCTTTTAGGAGGTCTTTTTTGTGAAAATGATTTACTTCAAAGATATTCCATGTACAATGACTGAGTTTCGTAAGCTTGTTCACCGAAAATCATTAAGTCGGATGTATTCAGTGGTGGTTCACATGTGCAACGAATTGAGGAAGGTTAGTTAAAATTAGCCGATGACACATCATCCAATAGGTGAACAACATGAATTTCCTACACTTATTCATTCATGTCATGTGTGTTTTAGGAAATATCCTCGGTTAAAACTTAACAAATACCAGTTTGTAATTTCTCAAATTGTGCTTCTCAAATACAGAATCTTTCTCAATTAGCGCAAAATGCTTTGTAGGTGATTGTTGGCCTGACTTTGCTCGTCATTATTTCCTTCGATTCGGATTACATTGTTTGCAATGCTTCTTAATAACCATGCCTGTTCACAAGCGATCATTCGTCTGTCCGTGATCTTGACGATCTTCCCCATTCATGGCGAAACTATCCGTTAACTGATTTGTGCGGACTATTCTGTATCTGATAGTCGATACAGTGAATAATCCCTAATGAATTATAGTGAATGACTGACTCCTCAAAATACACATGCTAAGTCGTGGTCATGCTTGCTTCGGTTCTCTCTATTTATTCTCTATCCATGCATTGTAGGGTTTCCGTATTTTCTTATGCTACTTGGTGATATTCGGCATCCGATGCAGTTGGAATGATTACTGTACGTATGATGTGACGTATGTTGGTTTGTTGGATAAAGTTTTGGTGTGTTCACATCAACTAGAAACATTTAAAAAATGGCTATCAAGTCTGCTTTCCTCAAAGCTTGTAACAGTCGTCTCCAGTATTCCTGAATTTTCCAGATCTCTGTTCAAACTTGAAAGTTTCCATTTTTGAGCTCTCTGAGTCTGCGTTTGGACTGATACTGTTACATAAGAAACTCCCCAATATATAACATCTTATTAGGAAATTATTAAATAATTGATAGTTAAAAGCCTTACTTCAATACGGTCGATCGCAGTAACATTAATGCTTATTAGGTGAAGAGTAATTACGTAACTCATAGTCGGATTTTCTATTTAGGCGATTCCAACCATCCAGTAGACCTACAAATTACGTTTAAAGTCAGCCTCTACCAACGCACTGAAATCTCAACATAACTGAGTCAACATTACTTTCGAACGTAAAGTCAGAATCTGACACGCAAATGAGACGAAAATAGAACTGTTTCCTAAAACAAACGATAGACCTAGTCGCATGTTATTCTGCAGAAACAACATTGCCTAGTGTACAGTTTTCGATTGTGAGAGCGTGATAATCTGACACTTAGCAAATTTTTTAATCTAATGATATTTATCTGTCGCTGGCTCGATCATTCATCAGGTAACCATGGATATAAGGAATTCATAAAGTTGGAAGAGCATTATGGGAGTTTGTGTTCTCTTTACAGTATGTGTTTTGATGAACCTTTCAGCTGGATATAACACAGACAGGTAAATTTTAAAACACCTGCCTGGACAATCACGTGTTATTGCTCGAAAAGTGATGGAAATTTTAGTTTATGATGCGAACAATGAATAAAGTGATGCTGAATGGACGTTTCCAAGCTTACAACATATTTTTTTGCCTCAAAGTAATATTTTTGATGAAATCGTCTATGCCTTAGAACAACAAATTTCCAAATGCTGGTTTAGAACAAAACAGAGTTCTCCGTTCACGAAATGGAATCGGGTTGTAGTATGGCGTCGAATCGCGGTTGACTGTGATCACCACTACAGGAAGACTACGTGCCAGTTAACCGATAAGATCCCTCGTAGGCCTAATATGAGAAGGCAGTTGATGGCTGTAGTCGAGATGTGTTTGTTGGCGATCTCGTGGTATCGAAAGAATACCGAGATCGTTTCAGGTTATAAGTGGGGTTACTGAGCATAACCGAATTCATGCAAGGCCACAAACAACGGAAGAATGTATGTATTTTGGTACAGTTAAACAAACGAGTACGGTGAAACAATCCCTGGCACAATTGGTTATAATAATAATTGTTTCCATTAAAAGTAGGTCACTACAGGTTAATTCTGCTTCAAAACGTTTTACGGCCTTTAGGAAAAGGAGTTTTGCATTGTGAGAGACGTATGTGTGCTTAAACGCGAATCGAAACACAATCACTACTCGTAGTTCTGTTTTTAAACTGAGTTGGGAATGGTTGTCGAGGTTAGTTCACGCACGTGAGAAGAGCTTGACTCTTATGCGTTAAGCTGATCAGGATAGACGTTACGTATATTCGACTGATATGAGATAATCTCACCGAAATGATTGGTAGTAACGGTCAAAGAGAGGTTCATAATATTTCTAGAATCATCGAAATATGAGGCTATTTAAAGTGCATCATCTGAGAAGGCATCAGGAGTCAAACTTATCACCTATCATGCTAGGTTTTGAATTCTCAACGGAGATTCAAGTATCATCAATAGACAGAGAACAACGTGATTAGCGGAGCAACGTGATATATTAGCGCGATGCATTCCAAATATTTGATCACACAAAAATCTGTTAAGAACATTACTATATAATAATAAAGTGTAAATTAGATAACGCTAGACAATCAAATTACAAAAAAAAAACGGAATAATTTTAATAAGAAACAGTGTGTACAAGGAAAAAACAAACAAAGAAGTTCAAATACTACAGCGTATTAAAAATCAACCACGTAAAATATGCTTAATACGTAAAAACAAAACAGAAATGAATTCAGACCCCGTGATAAATGGAGTGTGAGACAGATATCGTCTCAAGAATAATGAACAAAACGTTGCACAAAATCACGGATTAATTGAAGTTGAACGGATACGACTTACGATGCATGGTCATTGGTTTAGAAATTGATCGATCGCAAGCAAGTTCGAGATTGCTGGATACCAGTGCTATGTGCACGTTCGTGCATTCATACCACTCACAATAATGTGCATATACAAATGTTAGATTTAAGTTAATTAAGGTCAATTATTTTCAGTCTCTTCCATTAGAATGTTTTCGTTAATTAACTGTAAACCATTATCAGGTTATCAATTGTCTATTGATATTCTTCCAATTGACCAATGAAAGCAATCGACATGACGAAACTAGGAACAAATGATTTATTTCTTTGAATAATCAGTATCAATTATGGATGTCTTCTACTCAAATTCATCACGTTCTTGAGGTACATTGTTTTAAACACTGTTGATTGTAAGTAATGTGTTTATTTGTGATATAAAGTTCTGTTTGAATGATTAGTTTAAGTTGAAATAAAAACGGATTCCAACTTGATCTCGTCAACTAATTACAAACAACCATTAGCTAAGTAAACGGTCTGTAACTTGTTAGAGACATTTTAATAAAAGCTGTATCTCCATAGAGAAATCAGTGTTGTAATACTAAAAAAACTCACTTGTTGAGGCTTTCAAGGTAGACGATATAGAATGCTTTCGCTGTGTATTCTATGACCAATAATTGAAGGGATCAAAATCTAAATAAGTAATGTAACTGTTTGTGATCGGACAAATATTAAGCGAATATAATGAGTTACAGATGGTAACTCCAATTTAAGCTGTGTTGGATGTGGTGTTTGTATGAACTAACGAATCCTTTGTAGTTGAGGACTGTTTGATTTCGTATTCCAAATACAATATGTTCGTTAGTGCTCATCTAATACTTCTTGCTTACATTGCGTTATTTCTAAGATTCTTGGTTTGCACTATAATTTAAATACTCGTAATTATCGAAACTGGCATCGCGATGGAGTCTGTGATGGAACAGTTGGACATTCATTCAACTTATGAAACTTTTGAGGATTATTTGTAAAATTTTGGAATCTGGAGAATGATCAAGAAAAACGTTAAGGGTGATAAAATTTTGCCACATTTCATTACATTTTATCAGAAAAGAAGCCTACAGTTTATTAAGAACGTTGACATATTCAGAAAACTCTGTCTCACTTCATCATGCAACGCTTAAGGAACTATTATTAAATCATGTAAAGTGTACCAGTTTTGAATGTCGTGAGGGAGCAAAATGAGCAAAAAGGTAGTAGATCCATCCTTGAATTGAAAAGACAAGCTGCCAAGTGCAATTTTGGTGATCGACTTCATGTGCAGCTGAAGGATCGACTAATTGTAGGAATTAACATACCGGGTATGTAAAGAGAGCTGGTAAGAATGTCGAACTGTTCCATTCAAGACGCTAGAACTGCATGTACTAACTACGAAGCAGTGAATGAACTTGATATCCAGTCGATGAATATTTCAAATACTTTACTCAGTCGTCATGATGAAACACAATCTCAGGGTCGGACAAACTTGCGTTCGTTTAATAGTGATTCCAATTTTCGTGAAAATATGAAAGGTGATTCAACAAGTAATCGCAAAGCAAGTTTGGTAAATGTTTATCCTGTGGCAATTTTCATCCTCGTAATTCATGTGCATTTCGTAATGCAAAATGTTTTAAATGTGGTAAGATAGGATACATTCATTCGTATACACAACTACTGTTCATTTTGCTTCAAGTAGTACTAAATCTTGTAATTCAGATCCGAATAGTTCGGCTGTTCCTAACGATCATTTATCTTTATCCACCATTTCGAACAGTAATCCTCATATTCAAAAGTGATTATATGCATCCCTCGGTTCATTTCATCCACTGAATTCACAATATTGGGGATTACTGGACACAGACTGCTCATACGATGATGCTGCGAATTGCTAATATAAGTTGATAATTCTTCATACCTGCCTTCTGAATGTT